ATATATATATATATATATATATATATATTTTTTATTTTATTTATTTTTTTTTAATGATAAGTTTCAACTTGCAAATGGCTGTATGTTTTGCCCTTTGTTTCAGTAGAAAATGTAAATAATTATTTATTACAACGACACAAGACCACTTAAAAAAACAGTAGCATGTATACATTGGTCACTGTCTGCTGAAGATTGTAACCTCACCAGTTCATTCCCGTTTATTCCCTTTTGGGGTCTGCCGGTGCCTATCTCCGGCACACACTGGGTGAGTTGCAGGGCAACGCACACGCACACATTCACACCTAAGGGGAAGATAGATTATTCAATTTATTCAACCTAGCCACATGTTTTTGGGATTGTGGGGGAAACTGGAGGAAACCCACCCAAGCACCGGGAGAACATGCAAACTCCTTTCAGGAAGATCACCTGTGAGCCTCGAACCGACAACCTTCTAACTGAGTGCTACCTACTGAGCCACTGTGCCGCCCCTCACCAGTTCAGTTAATATTTTTGACAAACAGCTGAGAACTATCCAATCACTGAAGGGTTTCTTGAGTGTGGTAAAACTGCAGAACTGTGCATGAAACTATGACACAAGCTGGATCCCTTTTTAAACGAACCTTTTTTAAAAGGTAAAACCATGGTCATAATTATCAATGTTGAGAAGGCTTTACATAATACTCCAGATGAAGATGTGAGAATCTCTGTGGCGAAATAGTTTTTTGTGGATAATTGCCTGCAAAGTTAAATTTCCTACAAGAAGCACATCAGTTGGTGGATAAGTTGAGAGTTCTTTTATCCTCTGATAAATTTGACACCAGGTAGTGGGCAAGGATCTTCCTCTCGTAAAGCCAGGACCAAGGAGTCAGAACTGTGGCTGTCCCAAGACAAGCTAGATCCACAGGTCGGAGCTGGTCCTAAGAGCGAGGATGCAAAGGTCTAACCTCTGCTAAATTTGAAACCTCAGAAGGAAAACCTGGAAGAAGCTGGTGGAGGAGTTGGATTGGGTGCAAGAGTTGGTTTGGGTGGCTTCTCTGGATGCTCCCTATCCTGCTGAGAAGTACCAAGAAGCAGAGATCGTCCTTCCCCTGAGTTTGATGCAGAAAATCAAGTTATTCATGTTGGAGGCCAACTGAGACAGCTTAAGGTCTCATTCCTAAGTTCGTGCTTCCTATTGTGCTTGACCCTAATCATCCCAATACTCAACCTGTTGCCGGAGACAGAATAATGACATGCCCACTTCAAACTACCATAACTCTAGTAATTTTCACTGTAATGAAAAACTCTTGACAGATTCTAAAAGCTCTTCTGATTGATTCTACATACATTATCATAATGACAACGTTGCGTGTGTGCCAGGAGCGGGGAGTTTGTGGAGCGCAGGAGAACGCTGACAGATGAGTGATTGATTTCCTGTGATGCTATAGCAATACTTTAGCAGTGTTTTATAAATGCTAAGATATATAAATGCTAACATGGTTGCTAAGGTAAACAGTCTGGTTGCTATGGAGGGGTAATTGGCATCGTAGAATGTTCCCAATTTTACTATGAGTAGACCCCCTCCCATGTCTCTAGCCTTTCCTTAAGCTGGGATAGAAATATGCCATTTGGGTTGCCATGGTAACCAGTCTGGTTGCAATGAAAGGTCAATTACATGACAGAATGTCCCTTGTGTCAGTATGAGTGAAACAAAGCAATGTTTCTAGCATTTTCCTAAGCTAAGATAAAGATATGCAAATTTGGTTGCTATGGTAACCAGTATTGTTAAGTCAGAAATTTTCATAAAACTTAAACTGTGTATAAAAACCTGTAAAAGTTTTTCGCCATTTTTGCGGGAACCGGGGGTCCGATCAGTCTGAAACGACATAGCAACCTAAGTCAGATTAATTTTGTTTGCGGAAAGTTTGAAGTTAGTCGCTTGAAGTGTCTAGGAGGAGTAACCAGTATGGTTGCTATGGAAGGGCCAATTACATAATAGACTGTGTCACTATGAGTGAAACTAACCCCCCCTGTCCCTAGCATTTTCCTATGCTGAGATAAAGATATGCCAATTTGGTCGCTATGGTAAACAATATGGTTGCTTTGGAGGAGTCAGTGACATCATGTTGTAATCTACTTTCCATTAGGAATAATATAACTGTGTTCCGTTTAGCATTTATTAAACGTTGAATATGATGTTGCAGAGTGGGCGTGGCTTAATGAGTTTCTGTATCACAAGCAACAATTGGCTGGATTAGTGATTTGCTTCCTTAATGCTGCTATGACTCTCCATTGTCAACCAATCACATTAAACCTTTTACAAAAGGATCCTATGGGAATCAATGGCCAATCAATCAATGGAGAGCCTTGACCTACTTATTATGCAAATCAGAGACATCTGGACTAACTTTCAGTTTTTGAGTCGATGAGACATTTTACAGAATTTCCAAAACCAAGCCTCAATCAACTAAAGATAATAGAAGAACCGTAACACATATCAAGAGGATTCTTTCTTTGTCAGAAGCAGAAGGATTCATTGAAAAGAACGGTGTCAATTTTTTAATGGTATGTGAATAAAAGCCTTCGTTTGACTTTTTCTAACATCATCTTACGGGTAAATTGCATTCATTTTAACGGACAGCATTAATTTAATTTACCGGTAACCCTCCCTGTGGTTTAGCTCTGGTTTAAAAGCCATGGGTCATATAAAAAAGGCAAACACGTCATCTGAAAGAGGAAAAAATGCTCTCTACTATAATATACATTTTATGGATAAAGGTTAAAGTTTAGTTTAGAAGAGAGGAAAAGTTTGAAGATGGCTTTTCCTGTGGCTCAGGTGGCAGAGCATTGTGCTAACAACACAGAGGTTGTGGGTTCAAACCCCAGGGACTGACAAAAAATGTGTTCATTCTTTCAAAAATGTAAATCTCTTTGGAAAAAAAGTGTCTGCCAAATGCATAAATGTAAATGTGAAGAAGTTTGAGAAGAAGCCTTTTAGAGTGTAGCACCTTGAATGAAAAAGTCAGAAATCTTCATAAAACGTAAACTGCAATTTACACAAATCTCATAAAAGGTATCAAAGAGATCATATGAAAGCTGAAAGTACGCGGAAGTAGAAAAGTTTGAAAGAAGGTAAAGTTTGAAGAATCTCCCCATTCATTTTAAGGTGCAGAATGTTTTGAATAAAGTTGAATATTATAACATTTTAAAAAGTTTGAAAAGTGAAACAAAACTGCAACCTAGTCAAAAAAAAGCATTTTGACGTTTGATTGGTGTTTCAAGGCCAAAGTATGCTGAAGTAGTTAGGGTTGGGAAAAATGTTTAAATGTTGTCAATATCTATATGAGTAACATAAACCAACCCCTTTGTCTCTGATTTTCTTAAGCTGAGATAGAGATGAGCCATGTTGGTTGCTATGGTAACCAGTCTGGTTTCACTAGAGGGGTCAGTTACATAATATATTGTTCCCCATGTCAATACGGGGTTAGCTATTTTTGCAAAAGCGTTCTATTCCACTCAAATAAACCACTGTTCTCCGAGCATTGAGATTGAGGTTTCACCAGTTCACCGCTATCAGTAATTCATGTGTTCACCACATCAGCTGATGGGATTGAGAAGGATGTATAATGTCCTGTGGAAAGTTTGGTTGGAATTATACTGTAATTCACATAGCAACCAAAATCTTTTAATTCTATAACTATTTCTGGGCATAATTAGAGGCAGCCTTTCAAAGTCTGCGGTCGCCACTCCCTGTTTCCCACAACTTCTAGTGGGCATGTGGGCTTCCACCATTTTCCTAACAAACAACTGGAAGATTGTGTAATTAAATTTCTTATCATGTTTTATCATTCAGAAAGGATATTCTACTCTCTTTAAGAACAAAGTGTTTAAAGTTCCCATCTCTCCTAAAGCTAAAAGAAATGCATTTGAAAATATTGAATGCTGCGTATCCCTCAAATGAGTTTTTGCGTCATAGGTTTGGTTTTGACAAATCGATGTGCCATTCGTAATGATATCGAAACGATAGATCACTTAGTGTTTTCAGAAGCTTTATGGACTGATATTTATGACTGGCTGCATACCACTATTTATGGCTTTATTTCAGAAAATAAGGAATATGATTTATTGATTAACAATAATCCTTGGGAAATTTTACGCCCGCCTCAATAATTAGGCTAGAGGGCGCTCTAGTAGAAGAGCTGAGCTCCAATACGCTAGTTGAGATTAGGAAGCGTGTGTCTGTGTAATGGTGCTGAGAGAACTGGTTTATAAACTTTACATTATTACCACACCAGCTCCGTTTCTTCCGTGTGGTGCCGAGGCGCCGATACCGATACGAAAATGTTTTTGAAGACTCACACTGCTGGTTACTGAAGGCCAGTGCATTTTCTGCACCCTGCAACTACTGGTGTGACATATAATGAAGCGATGTCAGCTTTGAAAGCACATTTCAAAGAAGCAGCCTGCAAATCTGGATTCAGCAGTGACTGTAGCTGCTCAGGTTCAAAACCTCCTCATGACAGAAATGTGAAGAATGACAGATACAGAAGTAAATAAAATAAATCTTTCACAGTGTTGTTAGAAAGTGGGCAGATTTAACTTTTCAGCTGCTTCCCCCACGATTTCAATGCAGGCACGTTTGATTAGCTCCGATATATATATATATATAAAATATCACACAGTCATACACAGAAAAGATGACTCAACACTGCTGTGAACCATCTATAAAAAACATTTAATGCTTGTAATTTTGATTGAATTGCATCAACATATTACAAACATTTTCGTTATGAAATTAAAAGGAATTCCTTATTTATCCATCAACAGAACTCGTGCGTGTAAAAAAAAGTCTACATTCACTATTTATCGAAATAACACAACACATTAACAATATAAAACCAATAGAGAGAGCAAATACATTATATTAGCACTTAACTAAAATATAACTTATATAGTTTAATTTCCTTAAATAAGTCAATATATGAGGTAATCAGTTCATAAACCAGAAACTAAATAACAATATAATTTTTCTAATCAGGAACGGTCATCAAGAAGACAATCTCAACTTTGACACGACTGAGGTAATGGTCAGAAAGAGACAATCCCAAGCAACACCAAACCAGTTTGAAGTTGCCAGGCCATCGCAGGGTCACAACCTACTGCATGTTTTTAGACTCGTGGGGGAAGGGATTCTATATCCATTTATATTTATTTTGATATTAAAATTCAACTCAAAAATCAAGTAAAGGGAAAGTTTACGATAAACCTTTCAGAGGTACCAATCAACTTTCTGTCACTTATGTGTTCTGCAGAAAACAATAAAGTAACAACACAGTCAAAGTGTAAGTAAACATTGAATAAAGTGAATTAACTACCGTTCCTTCATGAACCCTCTTTAAAAGCACTGTGCATAGAGACAGTATCTCTAAAACCCCCTGGAGCCTTCTTCTGCTGAGTGGAAGTCAACACTTGTGTCTTCTACATTGGGGGAACCACAAGGCCGGCCATTGCTGGAGAGCAGAAAAAACAGGTTATGCACCAAGAAAGCTCTATTTACACCCAAAGCAGTTTACTGAGCTAGCACCAGGTTCTGGTAAACCAGTTAAACCTGGTACTAACATCTTTCCAAACACAACAGTATTTAAGATCCCCGATGACTGATGTTCAACTTTAAACACAACATTTGTCGAATTTCATGATGTGCAATTTGGCATTTGCCATAAGAATAAATCACTTGTTATTGTTGCTCTTATTATTGTATTCCTTTAATTAAAAAAATGAAGCATTCTTTCAAATAGCCATCCAAGTAATCCAATTTTAAATGTAATTACAGACTCACGATGAAATATTTGAAACGGCAATAGTTTCCATGCTTTCCTTCGCAATTTATAACGTTTTGGAACAAATCTCTTCAAATAAGGAGCATTACGAAAGTTTTCCTGTAGCTGTACTGTACCTCTAAAGCTGGATCCACCTGAGCTTTGACAAACAGGTGATGGTGACCCCTGGGGTCTGAGCACAGGAGCGAAGGCACTTTTCTGTTTGGTAGAAGAAGGGAAGGAGGAGAAGGGCAAGAGAGAGGAAGAGGAGCTGGACCCGGGAACATTGGGGCTCGATGGCATAACTGCGGGGGGAAAAGTTTGTTAGAATTATAATAGAATTTTTGTAAAATGACAAACGCATGTACGAAACATAATAATAATAATAATAATGCATTTTACTTAAAGGCACCTTTCTAGATACTCAAAAAACAACTCCAAAGTGACAGGTACAGGGGCGGTCGTAATCCTAGCTTTGTACCAACAGTAGTTTTCTGGCCAAACAGAAGGGAATCGCAGTAGTCCATACAGGATGTGGCTAAACATTTTATATTTGGGAAACTTTAGGCAAACTAGGATTTGATATCTGAGAAGCAGTTGGTAAGGGATGATGGTGGGAGTTTGAGGTTGGGTTTAGTTGATATGTGAAAATGGGTTTAGTGAAAATATAACCAAGTGGATGAAGATAGATGATGAATAACAGGGGACCAAGAGCTGAACCCTGGGGCACAACGGTAGTGACAGGGACCGAGGTGAACCAGAATGAACCAGAGAGGAATGAATGAAACCAGCTGAGGGATGTGTTTCCATAAATTGTTCAATTTAAACAACATTATTTATTTTCTGATGTTTACAATCACATGAAAGCTTGGTTTAAAACAAAAGAAAAGAAAGCTGGCTGACACAAACATTTTTGAATGTTTGGCTTTAAAAAATTGTTTAATGATCAATTTCTAAACAATGCACAATGACCCGGTTGAGTCAGGAGCATTCTGATTGGTGGATGCTATGACACACTTACTTTGAACACACTTGCAGATTAATTACGTGCAAGAAGAATCCAGAGTTCATATTTGTGTTACTGTTTGCAAATCCACATTCGAAAATGTGATTGAAATCTATGAACCTTTTTTTTTTCTTATTCAAATTCAGGAAAAATGCACATTTGCACGACTCGAGGGAAATATTCATGCTTTCACTTGAAAATGTACAAACATTGTTTTTTTTTTTTTGTTTTTTTTGTGCATTTGAATTGAGCTATTTATTGAATATGATATTTTTGAGATTGATTTGGCTCCATAAGTATTTGACCACATACCTGTTTTAAATGTTTGTCCTTATCAAAAATAATCACATCAGTTAGTATCACTTGGACATTAATGATAAATTTATTTCAACCTCACGTGGGAAAAACCACGTGGAAAGTACCGAATTACATTTACTTTTTGTGTATTTCTACTTTCTAAAGTAACTTTTAAATTTTGTAATTTTACTTAAGTACGTTTTGATGTAAGTATTGTACTTAACTACATTTTAAATCCTATTCATTACTGAGTAAAAAAAACTACTGCTTGATGTGCGGGGAAAACAAACGCAGTGCGCTAACTCAAGAAAGATGGAGACGGACGAGACAGACACACATGATGTAAACCCAGATGAAAGTGAAATGCTGCTGAATTTGAATTCTTCAGAAACAAACCCATGGCCATATTTACAAGAACACTTTGAACTGTGTAAGCAAGAGCAAGAAAGGCGACAGCTTTATTATGCGGAGTAAACTTTGGTTGCTCAAGACGACTGAAATGGCAGCTTACAAAAGCTCAACATCTGCGTGAGCATGAAGAGGTGAGTTAAACATGCTTCTTTTTTTTACGTAATTATTGTTCTGTTGCGCTGCATCAGCGCGTGACATTGTTAATGTTGGTTAGCACTAGGGTTAGAAATTAACAGGAAGTTAGGACAAAATTGTCAATGCACAATTACCGTTAAGCTATTACCAGTGTCACCATTTACTGAAGTCTATGAAAAGAGTTAGAATTAATCTGCAGCAGATGTCGTGTTAGAATTACTGTTTAACC